GGGTGTGGGTGAAGAGAAGATTAGAACTCACACCCACACCCACAATAACAACAAACAACCATCGTTCACAACACAACAATAATATTTGTATCTGATTCATTTAAATTGTCAAGATTCATTAGAATGATAACTAAATAGTATAGTACGTAAATATCGCCAACAATGAACCTGATCATATCGAACAATTAACCATTAAAAATTGATTGATCTGATTCATATCAAGTTGTTTCAACTAGAGGCTAATGCAGTATATATATGTATCAACATGCAATTTATTTTATTATACGTTATATTCTCAAAAGTCTTTTAATTATACTTGCTGTATATCAATTACGTTTAACGAATTCAAATAATTCATCATCATCATGATCATTTAATGAATCATTAGAACAAATTTTCAATCCAAATGATACCTCTATTATAAATGATGATAATGAAGAAGATGATAAAAATCAATTAGCATGCTGTGAAGGATCAGAATTATTATCTATATCTTTAGCTCTTATATCATCAATTGTGGAAAATTTTTTAAAAGAATTTTTTTCTTGGAATATTTTTTTATTAATGTAATACCTTCCCAGGTGCAAAAATCGTACGAGGATCATATAAGATCTTATACGATCTTACTGACAATTAGATTTTGTAAGATTCAGATTGTATGATCTTACGAAATCTTGCAAATTTCTTGTTCTAAGATTTAATATGATTCTTATTATAAGATGCTGGCGTCAATCTGATATGATTCTTGATATAAGATTCTTGCAAGATCTGAGGATGGGAGTCTTGTTAGATATTGTAGGATCTTGTCAGACCATAATTTTAAGATATTTCTCATGCAAGCTAGTTTTTATAACGATAGGTTTATAGATGTAGATTACTACACGTGTTTACGTGATGGAATGCTTCCTAATAGAAATATAATTTCTTTTTAAATTGCAAATACACGTTTTGTATACAGCGATGCTTATTATAAAAACAGCACACTACTAATCAATCTGATTTGACTTGATTAAGTTTATTATTGTTTTAACTTTTATCTTGTTAAATTCATTTTATCGTTTATTCTTATTGAAAAAAACATTTTTTGTATTTGTTTGTAAAACTGTAATTAATAATAATTCTCTAGTGTAGAGGACACGTAAGCTGACAATGGCTAATATAGACTATATATATGAGCGAGAAACCGTTACATTCGTCTTATATTCTGGTATGGTGGAAGAAATTGCACGTCATATATTTTTTCAAAAATACAACTAGGCTTTTTATATTAATTTATAATTCTTCAAAATTATCCAGTTTTGTTTTAGATATTTGAAATTCGTATCGATCTTATTTAGTCTTTTTGGTTTCATCGACTGAATTTCGATATTTCTGGTTTATTTTGACTCAAACTAATGATGAAAAATATTATTTTATTTTACTTTCAATCAATGTGAAAGGAGTTAGTTTCATTTGATGTATATGCTTAACTTATTTCAGTTAAGTTATAATTAATCTAAGAAGATTATCTATTTATAGTCAAAATAAAATGAAAGCAATTTAATGCAACTATACTTGTTTTACGACAAAATAGATTTACTTTCATAAGATTATTTATTTGATAGTCTGGGAAAATAAAATAAATTCAAAGTGAAGAGATTTATCTTACTTGAAATAAAGTTAAACTAATAGAATTATTGCATTTATATTTTTTTTAATACAAAATTAATATTCAATTTGATAACATTATTTAGAATTTACATTATATTGAACTAAATTAACCTAATTTTGTCATTTTATTTTATTTCAATTGAAATAAAATTAACATACTAGATTTTTTCTACAATTAAATTAAATTATTTAATCTGATCATTTCAACTAACACAAAATAAATATAATAAAATTATTCATTTATGATTAAAATAAAATCAAGGAAATCTTATCCAATATAATTTGGTTAAAACGGTTTCCAAACTACAACTTTGTAATTAATTAAGTCCATTTCAATATCGAACTCTACTCTATATACTGGTGGTCGATTATTCGAGGACGAGCTTAAAATTAACATCAAAGCGAACTGTGATCTTTTTTTGATAAAATTACGCATTACTCATTGCATGTTTTCATGTAGAAATGATAAATATTTTTTTTATTTAAAAATAAATTTAGTCTGAGACGAAGTAAAATGATAAAAATTTAGCGATAAATGTTTTCTCTTGAAACAAAGAGTTTGAAGAAGGTAACTCAGCCTGTTGAAAAATCAGGTAGAGGTGATGAAAAGTGCAAGAATATCAATCATGCGATGCATCCTATAGTTGTATAGAAGCATGTATGAATAATGCAAGATCTTATGAGATCATACAATAAGATCATATAAGAATCGTACAGTACGATATGATCAGATGTGCAGGCTTTACGACTATCTTATAAAAATCATACAAGATCGTATATGACTTTCATACGATCTTATATGATCATATAAGATTTCACAGTAAGATCTTGTAAGGTATTGAAATATCGCACAAGATCTTATTGTTGGATTCTTCGACCTGGGTTATTGTTTATATCAAATAGTTCGTCATACATCATCAAAATAAATTTTTTATTAATATCACGTGGTTCACAAGGACAATGTAAATAATTAATACAATTTTTTTTCTTCAACAAACAATTTCAATTATTAAATGAATCATCAGATAATTTTAAACATCATTACGATCATCAGATTTTTTCTTGTATTATGTCGTTTATTACCATATGCACATTCACAACATGGTGATGATGAAACTGATGACGATTAACGTCAAGATACTTTGGATACATTTTCTGAAGGAAAATTATTTCATAAAGATAATTATACAATAACACCACCAAACAAACAACAAGAGCAAAATAATAATACGAACATTCATTATGTTCAATAGAAAAACCAATAATCATCGACTACTTATTTATTCATATCAATAGTAGAACAAATTATATTTATGTTTCGAAAATAAACAAATAGATTCCGAACATCATTTATCATAAGATGATGCTGAGCAATGTTATCTTAAATTGAACGAACATTTCAAAAAAACAATGTTTTTTTTAAATTAAAATATGGTCAAATACAATTTATACTTATTGATCCATAGGATGGTGAACATATTCAATGTCGGACAATTGATTTAACATTTCGAAATATTACAATGGTGAATACAACAAACATAACTAATAATCGTTTATATATAACTGGCTCATTTGATTTATATTTTATAAAATCATTGAATAATGATTATTTTATATTCCATTTAAAACATGAATATCTTGGTCGTACGCATATATTAACAATTGAATCAAAATATTGATTTTTAATCAAACTCGACAAACATTATTATGTTATATATTACCAATATCGAAACAACAATATATAATTGATTATCCATATAATTGTTTAAAAATAAAAATAAATGAAAAAATAAATTGGTATCATTTTTCAAGGTATACCATCAACAGATAGTATTTAATATTTATTATTTCAAAATGAATGAAAATGGAAATCGACAATGTTTTTGTTTACATAAAAAAAATGAACAAATTAAATAAAAATCATCCTCGTGAAAATTCATTTATGAAATTTGAACTTCGCCATAATCAAACATTTACAATTTGTTTACACGATGAAATTATTAGAAGTGATGATCGTATACATATTATCATATGATGGAAAATATTTACGACAAGTATCATCTATAAACCAACAACAAATTGCTGATATTAATATACATATAATACACGAACTCATGGATGTGTGAGGACACACATCTAATAAGAGAGGGGAGGAATGTTAGCGGTAACTCACCCTCATTCCTGCCCCTTGATGTTTTTCTATCTCTCTCTATCTCTTTGTGGTTGTTATTCTTTTTCTTTTCTCTTCTCTATTGTATCTTGTTATATATATGTACGTGTTGTTAAGGACATTTTGGAGAGGATACATACATTTTAAATAAAATAAACGTAAGCTCGTCTAAGCGAGCTAACAATGCCATATGAATAATCGACATGTACATGTATGGAACCGTAGGCAAGTGAGATGAAAATGAATACTCTTATCTATTCGATCGTCAAATTACTATCTATCTATCAATCATCCTTGTTTTTGTTTGGAGAAAGTGCGCTTTATCTAACCTTTACACTAAATGTGTGCTTCGTCCTTATTCGATACTACATTAACTCTAGTTGTAAGACGTATTTTGTATCGGTGCACCCTGTAAGATTTTGACGAATGCGATACAACAAAAGACAAAGTGAAAGCGTGCATTATGCAAGATTGACTGATCTAAAGTTGAACAAAAGATTCACACGCAAGTGCATTATAGTAGCGATTGTCGTGGTGATCGCACTCGTGTTTTTCTCTGTTTGTCTGTGGCGACTGCTGCGACGACAGTAAGTCGAGTACTCGAAAGGCGTTGCATAGAATATTTCTCTTTACTAGGCATAGTTCGTCTCAAACCGATGATCCAACGAAGAAAATCAAATGTGGAACATGTTTGAATTTAACTTTGACGACAATGTTCCACCAAAAAAACAACAGTGCGACACCTCTGCAATCCAGTGATCTCACAACATTGAGCACTCTTCAAGTTAGCAAGCACACTTCAACACTTGAGAACATGATTGCTCATCCTGGTAAAATATTTTTTCATGTTCACAAGAATTCACTTTTGATCATGTTCTTACAACACCTTTTCCCGATCCTATTTCAACTAGAAAACGTACGTCCAAAAAGAGACAACACTTCATTTTACATAGCTTTATTTATCACATTCATGCGAATCATGGAATAATTGGTTTGTCCCACTTCTGATCCACTCCACAGTTGACGAGCAGGCAACAACAATTTTTTCGTTGTGTTTAAATTTTCTAATAGGCATGACATACGAACAGTTCAAGTGTTTCTTTACATGGAAACACAGCAATGTGGCATATACGCTTTCTATGATAGAAAAGATTTTTCTAAAAAAATGTTCGCAAAAAATTCTAAATTTTTTGTCTTCTGGCTTCTGCATACAACCCACCGTACACTCCTGAAGAGGTTTAGTCCATTTCAAAAAATCTTCTTCCTTGATAATCATTTCTAATTCTAAGTCTGGCATAGCTGAGGTTACTGATAACAATTTGGTCAATTTAAACTGTCAATCGAGGCAAGTGTGAATAAATAGAGATGCAAGGGCAACTTTTGTCCTAGAGTGACCAAGATTTGTGATGAGACGGGTACGCAAAGTAATTAGAAAGCAGCTCGAATGCGTCCAAAATAGTCTAGGTAGACGTAGAACTTTGCGCTCTACAGAAATCCGAAAGAATAAGCCATAATCACATATGACATATTAACCATCAAATAACCAGAGCATTGACCAAACATGTTGACTGGTTGCTAGAGATGGTCACTTTCCTTTCATTCGGGCTGCTTTCCTGTGCATTCATTTCATGGCATTTTGTTCCCTCTATAGTGGTATTCTTTGCAAAAAGGATATGCCTGAGACGATTTCATGCATGTCTTCCTGCAAGGTCGTTCGAATTCATAAATAGTAGAAAATATTTAGGTCCATCATACTTTTAACAGCGATCAGAAGAGAAAGAGTTGAATGAGACTTAAAACTTCAGCAGGGAGTGGCAAATCTCAAACTGTTACCAGTTTTAAAAACTGAATGTCAAAATTTTCAAAATTTCAATCTGTCAAAATTTTCAAATTTTCCAAGTACGACTAAATTTGAAAAAGACTGAGATAGCAGATATCAGATATTTATTCACACTATATATTTTTGTAATAGCTTCAGCAATCAGATATCAGATATTTACTTTTACATGAAAGTTTTCAGTTTCAATCCATAATTATCTATCTATATGTATGAAAATTCACCAGATAACCAGATATCAGATATTTACTTTTGTATGAAAGTTTTCAGTTCCAATACATAATCATCTATCTATATGTATGAAAATTCACCAGATATCAGATATCAGATATTTAATTTTCTATGAAAGTTTTCAGTTTCAATACATAATCATCTATCTATATGTATGAAAATTCAGCAGATATCAGATATCAGATATTTACTTTTGTATGAAAGTTTTCAGTTTCAATACATAATCATCTATCTATATGTATGAAAATTCAACAGATAACCAGATATCAGATATTTACTTTTGTATGAAAGTTTTCAGTTTCAATACATAACAAAGTAAATCAACTAATTTGAGTCCATGACAAATCCCAGTGATATTATCACTGGAATTTCTGTCCCACTCCAGTACATGACATATTTCAGTAATATTATCACCGAAAATCAAGACACAAATGTTCGAACTTCGTAGATAGATAGATTGATAGATATATAGATATATAATTAGATAGATAGATGGGTAGATATATAGCTAGATAGGTAGATAGGTAGATAGATAGATGGGTAGATATATAGCTAGATAGGTAGATAGGTAG